TTTTTGACAATAATACTTGAGATTCCATGCAATATAGATATCCTAGAAGTCTTCTGCAGAATAAGTATTCTAAGTTATACCAAGCTGTATAGTCCAAGACAAAATTTTATGTTAAATTCTCATAAAATTGTTATAAAATAATGATATTTCTTTAAGTGAACAAAGTCTCGCTCTGTCGCCCAGGCTGGAGGGCAGTGACCGGATCTCAGCTCACTGCAAGCTCCGCCTCCCGGGTTCACGCCATTCTCCTGCCTCAGCCTCCCGAGTAGCTGGGACTACAGGCGCCCGCCACCTCGCCCGGCTAGTTTTTTGTATTTTTTAGTAGAGACGGGATTTCACCGGGTTAGCCAGGATGGTCTTGATCTCCTGACCTCGTGATCCGCCCATCTCGGCCTCCCAAAGTTGCTAGGATTACAGGCTTGAGCCACCGCGCCCGGCCTGCATTTTTCTTTAGTTAAATTCAACAAGCAACTATGAGAGCTTGACTATGTTCTAGAGCACTTACATTCTGGGGAAATTCACAAAATCATGGGCAAAAATCCTCAGGTGAATATGTGTTATTATTTTAATTTCCTTTTTTTTTTTTTTTTTTTTTTTTTGAGACAAGGTCTGGCTCTATTGCCCAGGCTGGAGTGCAGTGGTGTGATCTCGGCTCACTGAAGCCTCACCTCCCAGGCTCAAAACCATCCTCCCACCTTAGCCTCCCAAGTAGCTGGGACTACAGGCACACACCACTGAGGCGCCTGCCTCAGCCTCCCAAAGTGTTGGGATTACAGACATGAGCCACTGCACCTGTCCGAATTTATTTTTATTTTGGTGAATGTACATATTAGAACAGATGACAAAGGAAAGTCTGCAAGACCTTTGGACAAAATCTCACATTCACAAGTTGTCTCAATTTTATTTTTTATTTTAATTTTATTTATTTATTTATTTTGAGACAGAGTCTGGCTCTGCCACCCAGGCTGGAGTGCAGTGGAGCAATCTTGGCTCACTGCAACCTCTGTCTCCGGGGCTCAAGCCATCCTCCCACCTCAGCCTTCCCAGTAGCTGGGACTGCAGACGCAGGCCACCATGCCCAGCTAATTTTGTATTTTTTGTAGAGATGGGGTTTTGCCATGTTGCCCAGGCTGGTATCGTACTCCTGGACTCAAGTGAGTCTTCCACCTCAGCCTCCCAAAGTGCTGGAATCGCAGGGTGAGCCACCATGCCCAGCCTCAATTTTATATTTTTGATGTCTCCAAAAGAGGTCTTATATTTAGTCACTGAGATATACTGTTAAGGATTAAAAGGAAAAAGCCATCATCATGTAACTTTAATCTTGTGCCACTTTTCCACAATATTAATAAAATGAATTAGTATTTTATAAATCCTGTGACTATGTTGTGAATAGCAAAATATTGACATTGTAAGATATATTACATTGCAATTAAAAGAAATAAGCCACAATTTTTTATATTCCATTATAGAATTTCTTCATTTTAAAAAATCAACTGAGAGGCAAGGTGTTGTGGCTCACGCCTATAATCATGGCACTTTGGGAGGCCGAGGCGGGTGGATCACCTGAGGTAAGGAGTTCGAGACCAGCCTGGCCAACATGATGAAACCCCATCTCTACTAAAAATACAAAAGATTAGCCAGGTGTGGTGGCAGGCACTTGTAATCCCAGCTACTTGGGTGGCTGAGGCAGGAGAATTGTTTGAACCTGGGAGGCGGAGGTTGCAGTGAGCCAAAATCGCGCCATTGCCTGGGCAACAAGAGCAAAACTCCGTCTCAAAAAAATAAAAAATAAAATAACTGAGAGCCTCAAAAAATGGAAGTGGCCCAGGCCTTTGAAAGGCCTTGAGCATAATTATCACTTTATCTTTTTTCTTTTCTTTTTTTTTTTTTTGAGATGGAGTCTCACTCTGTCACCCAGGCTGGAATGCAGTGGCATGATCTCAGCTCACTGCAACCTCCACCTCCCGGGTTCAAGCGATTCTCTGCCTCAGTCTCCCGAGTAGCTGGGATTACAGGCGCCTGCCACCTCGCCCAGCTAATTTTTTTGGTATTTTTAGTAGAGACAGGGTTTCGCCATCTTGGCCAGGCTGGTCTTGAACTCCTGACCTTGTGATCCACCCGCCTCAGCCTCCCAAAGTGCTGGGATTACAGGCGTGAGCCACGGCGCCCGGCCCACTTAATCTTTAAAATGTGATAGTTTTAAGTAGGGGCCTAAAGCAAATGGGTTGTTGATAACTATAAAAACGCCTAGCTAACACACTCCTTTCCACTAGACTTACTATTTCTTTTCTTTTTTTTTTTTTTTTTTTTTTGAGACGGAGTCTCGCTCTGTCGCCCAGGCTGGAGTGCAGTGGCCGGATCTCAGCTCACTGCAAGCTCCGCCTCCCGGGTTTACGCCATTCTCCTGCCTCAGCCTCCTGAGTAGCTGGGACTACAGGCGCCCGCCACCTCGCCCGGCTAGTTTTTTGTATTTTTTAGTAGAGACGGGGTTTCACCAGGTTAGCCAAGATGGTCTCGATCTCCTGACCTCGTGATCCGCCCGTCTCGGCCTCCCAAAGTGCTGGGATTACAGGCTTGAGCCACCGCACCCGGCCTAGACTTACTATTTCTGCTGCCATGTAACAGGTGGTCAGAAAACTACCAGTTCTGACTGGGCGTGGTGGCTCATGCCTGTAATCCTAGCACTTTGGGAGGCCGACACGGGCAGATCACCTGAGGTCAGGAGTTTGAGACCTGCTTGGCCAACAATGTGAAACCCCATCTATACTAAAGATACAAAAATTAGCTGGGCATGATGGTGAGTGCCTGTAATCCCAGCTACTTGGGAGGCTGAGGCAGGAGAATTGTTTGAATCTGGGAGGCAGAGATTGCAGTGAGCTGAGATCGCACCACTGCACTCCAGCCTGGGCAACAGAGCGAGACTCTGTCTCAACAAAACAAAACAAAATGAAACAAAACTACCAGTTCCTAGAGCAGTGGTTCACAAACCCGGCTGCAGGTAGGAATTACCTGTATTTTCCCAGATCCCACTTCAGACCACTTGAATTAGACTGTCTAGGGCTGGGGCCTGAAGATTCCTATGCTTAAAAAGCTCTCTATCTCTCTTCCTTCCTACACTGAATTTCCTTATGGTTCGAGGACTCAGAATTCAAGCTAGTATAGCTAATGCCACAGTTCAGCTGCTTCAAGAGTTCAACACAGTGAGAACTTGTCTCTACAAAAAGTCAAAAAATGAGGCGGGAGGATTGCTTGAGCTCAGGAGGTCGAGGCTGTAGTGAGGCGTGATCGTGCCATTATGCCTGAGTGACAGAGCGAGACCCTGACTCAAAAAAAAAAAAAAAAAAAAAAAGAAGAGATCTGAAGGCTACTTTGAGGGCCAACCACCATTTTCAATGTAGTCTCTCTAGGGTGATGTGTTGGAAGTGCCCAGAAAACAATTTTAAAAGGAAGTTTGAGGATGTGGTCCACATACTTTTTTGGGGAAACTGACCACACAGAACTTTTGATCAAAATGCCTTCATTTGTTCCTAAAATTTCTTATTGTGTCTTTACTATATGAAATTAATGCTGGCTGGGCATGGTGGCTCATGCCTGTAATACCAGCAGTTAGGAGGGCGAGGCAGGCAGATCACCTGAGGTCAGGAGTTCGAGACCAGCCTGTCCAACATGGAGAAACCCTGTCTCTACTAAAAATACAAAAATTAAGCAGATGTAGTGGTGCGCACCTGTAGTCCCAGTTTCTTGGGAGGCTGAGGCAGCAGGATCGCTTGAACCCGGGAGGCGGAGATTGCAGTGAGCTGAGATCATGCCACTGCACTCTAGCCTGGGTGACATCCGGCCGCGGGAGTCGAGCGGCCTGGGAGGGGGGGGAATTGGGGAACAAGAGATACGAAAATGAGACAAGAATGCTCGATAAGTCTCTCTTTAATGCGTATGCATGCTTATACACTTGGAGGGGGGGTTGGGCAAGGCGAAATGATCATAATGGAGCGTGGCAGACAGTATTGGTTTCTCTGGTCGAAGTATGTTGCACTGGCTGTCAGTAGTATTTCACGGCGGGAAAATGGTAAGAAGAAGCAGAAACGCCATCTTTATAGGTATAACAGGAAAAGTAAACAGGAAAGTGGGGTGAATGAAATAGCTCAGGGTTTTAATCGTCAGTTATTATCGCTATGCCGGGCGTGCAGCTCGACAGGTGACAGACTGAGACTCTGTCTCAAAAAAAAAATAAAAATAAAAATAAAAATGTAACAAATGCTGATTGAATTGTTAGTTCAAGTTTAGTTTTACAAAAGGTGAATACCAGTTGGTTTTTTTTTTTTTTTTTGAGACAGAGTCTTACTCTGTTACCCAGGCTGGAGTGCAGTGGTGTGATCTTGGCTCACTACAACCTCTGCCTCCCAGGTTGAAGTGATCTTCCTGCCTCAGCCTCCTGAGTAGCTGATACTACAGGTGCGTGCCACCACACACAGCTAATTTTTTTGCATTTTTAGTAGGGATGGGGTTTCACCATGTTGGTCAGGCTGGTCTCGAACTCCTGACTTCAGGTGATCCACCAGCCTCAGCCTCCCAAAGTGCTGGGATTACAGTGGTGAGCCACCACACTCGGCCCCAGTTGTTTTTTGTTTTTGTTTTGTTTTGTTTTGTTTGAGACAAGGTTTCACTCTATCACCCAGGCTGCATTGCAGTGGTACCATTATAGCTCACTGCAGCCTTGACCTCCGGGGTGCAAGTGATCCTCCTGCCTCAGCCTCCTGAATAGCTAGGACTACAGGTGTGAATCACTATGCCCAGCCAATTTTTAAATTTCTTGTAAAGATGGGGTCTCATTATGTCGGCCAGGCTGGTCTTGAACTCCTGACTTCAAGTGACCCTCCCTCCTCTGCCTCCCAAAGTGCTGGGATTATAGGCATGGGCTACTATAGTGGCCAAAGTACCAGGTTTTTATGGGCAGTAAAACTTTAGCCCAAACTGTCAATGAACTCAATTTTTTTTGCCTCCATGAAGAGGCAAATATGAAGAAAATGGGGTTTCAACACAGAGAAAAACAAATTCCAAGAGATGCTGGGGTCAGTATACATGCTGTCTATTCTCCTCTACCTTCTGGTTCTTCATCCTACCTCTGTACTATGATATTGATGCTCTGAAGAAGACCCTGTATCCCAGCAATATTCCTCATCTATAAAATATTTGTGTTCCTCTAAACCCAAAACACACAAGATGATGTCCAGGGAAGTTAGAGGAACATAAGTCAGCTGAAGAATTAGGGGTATGTTCCCTCCTGTCTACCTCCCCAGTTCACCCTGGCCCGCATCCGGTTTGGAGTGACCATGTCTATGGAGACAAAGGAGGATGTTCTTCCACTTCTAACCTCAAAAGGACACACTGGAGGCATCTAGATTGAGGTTACAGTTATCCTTTGAGGAGCTGTAAGAAGACTATTTGGAAGTAGATCAAATCTAGAATAATCAAGTGTGAAAGGACTATGGTTGTGAGTAGTAGCAAATAGTACTGTTGCTACTGCTGCTACTGTTGCTATACTGTGTTGATAAATACAAAGTATAGTCATAAAGGTGGGGGATTGAATCATGATCCAGAATGATATGGCTGTTAAGGCTTTCCAGGTCAGCCAGACAGTTGAGATAATCCTTATTCAAGTGAGAAACGAATTTGGCCCTCCTTATCTGGAGGAGAGGGTTGGAAGGATGATGGATGGATTTGGGGCCATATAGTAGGACTGAATTCCTAGGCTGAGCTCCAACGACCTCCGAATGCCCCAGAGATATCTGTGTTCCATCTGATCTGGTCTGCAGCAAGTCCACAGAAGCTACACTCACTTTTTCCTGCTGAATTGTCAAAATAATTGCCCTTCAGCCCATGCCTCGCTACCCTGTAGACAGAATCCACTCATTTCCCTGTCACATGGGCTACAATTGCTACTTCAAATGAAAACCTGGGAAGCCAGTTCCCTGCTGCGGTTGAAAGTGTATAATTAGCTCCTCGTGCAACCTGACCCCACTGATCTTTCTGATGCATGTGGCCTAGAGTGTGCCCTTTCTGAGACCTCCAATGTCTTCTCCACAGCTGGGGGTGCCCAAAACTGCATGGAGCACTTCCTGCGGGTGTGGCCTTGCATTCTTAGGGCTGCAGGGTACCCGCCGCATGCAAAATGGATCACAGGCTCCAGCCACTCACAGATTCACAATGCTTTTAAAAATACAGCAGTGGAGTATGAGTGGCTATATCAGATATGAGGGTTTTCCACCCCCTCCCTTTTCTTTTAAAATATGATTTTGTAATGGTGGCCTCAAGAAACACTATAATTGGTCAGCCTGGGGTGCGTTTGAAGGCCTTCCCTATCGCGTCATTAGCTATTCTCAGGAAAGGCAGGGTATCCCCCTGGGAGAATGACAACACACTTGTTTCAAGTTAGGGAAGAGCCTGTGGTTCTCTTCCTGCGTTCAGGGGAAAGCGAACACACAATGTTCGTTTCCTAAATACGGGATGTGCTGTGCTGGCAGGTCATTTTCCACCATGTCACGTCCTTCTGGATGAAGGCAGCAGGGGTCAGGACAGGAAATGGCAAATTCTCAGAATGAGACAAGGCTTTCCCAGGGCAGCCATTGGTTCTCTGGGACTATAAAGCACACTCATCCAGAAACAGCCTCAGATTTTACTTTCCTGGAGGCAGACAGAAGTGAATGGTAAGTGGGGAACCCCGAGGCATATATTCGGGATGACTTTTTCTCATTTTCTCTTTTTACCTGGAAAATTACCCCTGGTGGGTTGGATTATGGAAGTATGGAAGTAAAATTAAGTCCTATGAGTAAGGAGATCAGGATTCTAGACTGGGCTCTGTGAAGAATCAGCTGCTTCTAGAATCTGATGTCTGATGCAGGCAGTTCTTCCAGACGAGAATGATTTCTGCCCTGATAGCTCAGTTTTGAAATGCTCTATTTCTATGGCTCATTTGCCACTTCTAAGAAGTTCCTAATAATGACGACTACAGTGGACATGAAGGTGGGAATCTTGGCAACGAGGATGAATGTACTTTTCCCCCAAGATGTACAACTTGTTAATATCTTTGTCAGTCATCTTCAGTTGGCTTCAACGTGGTACAAGTTGTTGAACATAAATTTTGGCCGCTTTATTTTATTCAACCATTACTCAATTTTAAAAGAAAACGTTCATAACAAAGAGACATAATGGTATTAATTTAATGTGACTGAGTTTAAATTAAGCACCCAGCAAAGATTGATGTTTCTGAAGATCTAAGGAGCCCTAGTTAGAATAAACAACGCAAACCTCACTTTAGGTTTGATTCTAAGAAAAGAGCCTGGAAGAATCACAAGCAGAAGAGTTGCTTCAGGCAAGCATCTAACTTAGATTAGTTTCTTCTGCTTGGTAGAAAATATGATTTTTGAGATTTTGTGGACGTCTTTTTCATACATTAGAGAGAGAGAAAAGTGTGTTGCAAAACTCCTAGGATCCAATTTTCATAAGATGAAAGGGCTTTGTAAACTGTACAACCCACCACTTACAAGGTGTTATCTTAAATAGAGCAAAGGCCTCAGTATTGGAGAAGTCTTCTAATACCACGCCCCTCCCAGTTTAAATCTTATTTAACACATAGCTGATGAAACCCATCCTTAGCGTTCCCTGGGAGAGAAGCAGAAGATAGCATTATTCCTATTTCCATATGCAGAGATAAGGTCCTGAGAACTTGTGTGGCTCCCCTCAAGAGAACTTGATTCATGATCCACTGGAAATAGACCCGTTCCCCTAGCGGGGCAGTGGCTGCTCCGCTGAACTCGTGCCAACTTCCCGCTGGCGTCCAGGCAGCAGGGAGGGAGCGGCGGCTGGCACGGAGACTCCAGGCTGACCGCGTGTCTGTGTCCCCGCAGGGAATGGAGAGGCCGGCAGCCCGGGAGCCGCATGGGCCGGACGCACTGAGGCGCTTCCAGGGGCTGCTGCTGGACCGCCGAGGCCGGCTGCACGGCCAGGTGCTGCGCCTGCGCGAGGTGGCCCGGCGCCTGGAGCGCCTGCGCAGGCGCTCCCTGGTGGCCAACGTGGCTGGCAGCTCGCTGAGCGCAACAGGCGCCCTCGCAGCCATCGTGGGGCTCTCGCTCAGCCCGGTCACCCTGGGGGCCTCGCTGCTGGCGTCGGCCGTGGGGCTGGGGGTGGCCACAGCCGGAGGGGCTGTCACCATCACGTCCGACCTCTCGCTGATCTTCTGCAACTCCCGGGAGCTGCGGAGGGTGCAGGAGATCGCGGCCACCTGCCAGGACCAGATGCGGGAGATCCTGAGCTGCCTAGAGTTCTTCTGCCGCTGGCAGGGCTGCGGGGACCGCCAGCTGCTGCAGTGCGGCAGGAACGCCTCCATCGCCCTGTACAATTCTGTCTACTTCATCGTCTTCTTCGGCTCACGTGGCTTCCTCATCCCCAGGCGGGCGGAGGGGGACACCAAGGTTAGCCAGGCCGTGCTGAAGGCCAAAGTTCAGAAACTGGCCGAGAGCCTGGAGTCCTGCACGGGGGCTCTGGACGAACTCAGCGAACAGCTGGAGTCTCGGGTCCAGCTCTGCACCAAGTACAGCCGTGGCCACGACCTCAAGATCTCTGCTGACCAGCGTGCAGGGCTGTTTTTCTGAGAACATCCTTTCCCCCTAATGACCGAGGCCAGCAAATCATCCCCATGGGATGCTCCAGATTTTGTAGCTCCCTTAGGAAAACACCACGCTGGGTTAGGAGCCGAAGGCAAAGGATGAGAAAAACTGGTTTTGAAGTGGGTGGGTCCCCAGAGCCCTTCTTTTCCCATCACTGTGACATCTGCCTGGGCTTGAGTGCTACGGACTTTTCAGTTGTGTGATCCTAGTGGAAGAATGTGACCCCAAAACTCTTTTTCCTTTATCAAAACCTTTCTGTCTAAACACAGCTGGGCAGGCACTACTGTTTGAAAGTTACTTCGGGGTCCCTGACCCTGCCCTGGTGGCCTGACCTGAGACTGGAGAGAGTGCCGCCCTCTGGGTCCTCTCCAAGTCCTACTAGTCTTTGAAGTCCTCAAAATGCCCATGAGAGAAGGCATTTGCCTCTCTTCCAGAATGTCTGATACAAAGGAACTGCAGAATTCAGAGCAAATCAGCCCTTCTCTAAACGTTGTAGGACGGTTCAGAACTCAGAGAGGGCCCTGGTGTTGACATGTCCTCCTCTTCCCTTTCCCTTCAGCTTACCCACTCCCAGATGCAGCCTGAGTATGCAGTAGGCCTTTCCTGAGTGGCTCCCAATCCAGTCCTCCAAGTACTCAGAGGGGAAGCCGGTTAAACCATCATCTAAGTCCTGCTCCCTCACATGAAGAAGCTGAGGGCCCGATAGATGGAGCGACTGCCAACTTCATTTCCCGACATCATTGTGTTCAGAAGAGAGTGATGGGTTGAGTTAGACAATCCTGGGCTTGAGACAGGCTTTGTCACTACTGTGTGAGTGTAGCCACCTAATCTGTCTTTGACTGTGTAAAACAAAGATGATAAAACCTCATCCGGTTGTGAGATATTAAATGAGCCAAAGTGCCTAGCATAGTGCTGGCTCATATAGTGTGGTCCCTGGAATGGCAGATTAACACCACCCGGGAACTTGTTAGAAAGGCAAATTCTTGGACACAACCCCCCTGACTTAATGGAATCAGAAACTCTGGATGTGGAGCCCAGCAACCTGAGTTTAAACAAATTCTCTCCGTGGTTCTGCGGCACGCTAAGGTTTGAAAACCACTGCAACAAATGCTAACTTCTAATCCCCTTGATGAGCTTTCACGAAGTTTCGCAGCTTCTCTAGGGACTCCACGGTCTTCTGAGTCGTTCACAGATGACCAAGGACAGACTGTGTCCCAGAAGCCAAAATGAGAGAGAGAGAGCGCGCGAGCACCCGTACGTGCATCCTGAGGCAGTGTCTCACCGTATGAACTAAGGGATGTAACACTGTCAGTCCATTAGAGGGCAGTGTTTCCCATCTATTGTAGAAACTGGTACAGAAAGGAACGTGAAGTTCCCGAAACTGACCTTTCTCTATTATTACCTTCTCTGAAAAGCGCCAGTCCATGCATTTTTTATTTATTTTAAGTTTGTAATTTAATTATTGTTTATTGTTTGCATTTAATTTTATTTAACCACCACGTTTAGAAAATAATAAGAGCAAGTTTCTAAATGGGAGACTGCTGAGGCTCTTTGCAAGAGATGAGATTAAGTTTGAGTTTCTAAGGCAGGGCATGGGCTGGAAATAGCATTGCTTTCCTTGAATGTCTCTCTCCTTCAGGGAGACTTTTATTCTCTAGTGTTTTAAGTGATCCTTTTAAGTAAGTGCGGAGAGTCTTAAAGAGCAAGACCAGGAGCTGAGTTTAAGCTTGTAATGGAGGCTTGCATTGTGGGATTTATAACTGAGGAAGCATATTTATCCTGAAAGTATTTTACCAGAAGATAACACTTAACCTGGAAAAGGAACCTATTTAGTTCAGGAAAGATAAAAAGTTTAGAGGTATGTGAAGGAAGCACTTAAACCTTGCAAGCCTGATGTCCTATCAAGTTACGTCTTATGGGTGACAGACAAAATAACCCGTCTTATGGTGGTGATGTGTTGCATTTTCACTTCGGGGTCTGTAAGAAACCGTCAGCGAAAATGTATACAATTCCTTCAGTTTCCATTCTTAACAACTGTAATGTTGAAAAATAAGTTGAAAAGTCTTTGGGACCATACATGCAAAAACTGTGCCTCTGTTATTTAATTATTTAAAATTCTGTAAATGTACCCAATCTGCCCCCACCCTTCCCAATGATGGCAGCATGTCTGAGGAAGTAGAATTTCAGTGCCGGGGTTGTGGAGAGGAGGTGATGCTTCTGTATTTTTATTTTTCCTATAAATCGCAATTGGTCTGTATTGGTCTGGTTTATTTTGAAATTTATCTTGGTTTATTTTCAAACTGGTGTCATCTCCTAGACTGCTTCACCCAGATACTAGCTTTTTTTTTTTTTTTTTTTTTTGAGACACTCTGTCACCTAGGCTGGAGTATAGTGGTTTGATCTCGGCTCACCACAACCTCCGACTCCTGGGTTCCAGCGATTCTCCTGCCTCAGCCTCCTGAGTAGCTGGGATTACAGACATGCAGCGGCACATGCGGCTAATTTTTTGTATTTTTAGTAGAGACACAGTTTCGCTATGTTGGCCAGGCTGGTCTTGAACTCCTGGCCTTATGTGATCCACCCACCTTGGCCTTCCAAAGTGCTGGGATTACAGGCATGAGCCACCTGGCCTGGCCAGATGCTAGCATTTTAGATCACCGGAATGTACTTCACATTGTTAGTTGTGTTATGGCATAAAGGTACAACCATTCCCTAACTCCATGTTTTATTAATGCTTAAGTTTAAGTTATATTCTTCCAATGCCTGAGCTATTCCCTAGAAATAAACTGGGCAATTCTGGAAGCAGAAGCCCTAACAGCAGCAGCAAACTTTCCTGTCATTAGAATATTGTGGGTGTATCAAAAGTTCTATACTTTTGAAGTTATGATTTCAGTGACCCACTTTATTTCTAAGGAATAGTGTCTATTTTGGAACAATGCTTTGCACATAGTAGGAACTCAAGAAATGCATTTGAATAATTTAATTAACTGTTTAGCTATGTTAATGAGAATTTGTTGATAACAAAAGATCATCCATCCCCTTATGTGTGAGTAAGATTGGAGCCTCTATCAAGATTTAGTCAAGTTCAGTTAGATTGATTCTAGAAACAAATATGTATTTATTTCTTTTACGGGAATGTGAATAAGGCTTTTCCTCAAGGCCTTCATTCTATAAACAAACAGGTTGAAATCGTATGTTGTAAAGAGAAGAAGGGAGAGGGATATTTAGATGTGAAGTGTACTTCACAAAAATGTCAAAGTTTGAAAAATAAGTATGTTTGTTCTAAATGTTTAAGTGCTTCTCTGTTAGGTTCCTGGGTTTGCAATCATTTGAATTGTTTTGTTTCACAATAAAGGAGATTCATTGGGTTCTGCGTTTTAAGGATTCAATAAAACTGCTCCATTAAAAAAGTAATCCTTAGCAAACATTCGGATCCTAACTGCTTTGATGCACTTGCCCTCCGGCACCTGTCATTTCCAATATGGTAAGTGTCAAAGTCAAAAGTATTTACTGGGAGAAAAAGGAGAGGAGTGGCTGTAGAAGTCTCCCTAAATCAGATATGTCAAGCAATCAGCCAACATGGTATATTTCTCATTCAATATTTTCGTGTGAATTGAGACACTGAGATAAAGACATTGTGCAGAGATAAATGGGGATACAGTTAAATGTAGCAACTCTTGAGTTCATTTTTTTCCCACTGTAGCAAAATTAATGCTTTCTCTTTATTGAAATAAATTGCTCATTTCTCAAACTTTTTTATCTTTCTGTAATTAATTTCTTAGTTCTATGTTTCCTTGTGTATGAATCAGTAACTTTGAAAAAGGGCAGATGTTTAATCATTTTCACTTAGAATATTCAGATAAAACGATATGAATCAATTTTTTAAAGTAATCAACGCATACACAAGAATTCCCTTATTGCCTGGAAATCAGACTTCCAGCAGTCTCAAAATGTTTGAACAATTCAAAACATTCGAATAATTACAACCTGGAAAGGAATTGAAAGGAAACCTAGGATCAGCCAAATTAGCCTTCACAAAATCCAAACACTAAAGAGAGGTAGGCAGAGAGGGTGAAGGGCAGCATGTATACCAGGAAAGCAAAACTTTCCCGTAAATCTCTGGGGGACTTCACCTTGCAAGCCACCAATCTTGACCATGCAAGGCAGGCTGGGAAATGTAGTATTTTTAGCTGAGAACAACGCTGCCCCTAATATACCTCAGATTCTGTTGGTAAGAAAGAAAAGGAGGGTGATCACTGAGTAGGGGGTCCAGCAATTTAAACAAAAAGCCTGTTGTGGTTGCAGCAGCCAGTTGGGAACAACTGCTCTGGAGATGACCTCACTATCTGAGTGCCAGCTGCACCTTGGAAACATTCCTGGGTCTGGAGGCTGCACTGTTAATGACTGTACAACCAAAAAAGGCTGTGTTGGCAGGCCCCTGACTGTTTGCAGAGGCCAGCCGCAAGCTGGGATCCTATCTTTGCTGAAGCATATGGTATTCCTGTAGTAACAAGTGTCCTTTTAGTTAATTGCAATAAATCTCTTGTTGAGTTGACAGGAGGTTGGGATGTTACTTTTTGCTCCTGGCAAACTCATAAGAGGGAAAGTAAACCCTGCTGTGGTCTGGAATAGGACAAAGAGTGAGCCCTTAGATCTGAAAACAATCTCTTAGCAACCAGAGAGCTGTTAGGAAAGGGGAAATCGTGCTGATGAAGCAAGACCCATCTAGGGTCCAGGAATGCACATTAGGGGTCCTCGGCACCCCCAAACCTGACTAGCATTAGCACCGGGTTGTGGAGAGAAGGCCCTCCAATGTGGTCTTTGCCTGCATGCATACAGATTGTCTATATGAAGCTATATCTGCAGAAAATGATGTTTAATCCAATTTTGTATTTACGCTATAACCCCAGAGGCAGAACGGCAGGCAGGCCTGTGACCTGATTTGCCCTGAGCTTTAGCTATGGTTCACAACCAAGGCCTCTGCCTCCCTTACACACAGGAGCAGGCGGATCCTGGCCTCCTCCAGCATTTGTGTGAATACGGTTGCCAAATTCACCAAAATAATTATAATTGGGAGAAGCTTTTTGTGTAGATACAGCTTGGGGTAGGGGTGATGTCTGAAGTCTTTCTTTTAGGCGAAACTTCTTTCTCTAGGCTCCCTGATTGATAAGCAGACATTTCTTTCTGCCCTCACTTCTTATTAAAACTGCACTGTCAAAATATCATTTAAAAACAATATTTTTTTCAGTGCTTAAATAAAATGACATTTCAATAATATCGAACATACATGTGGAATATTTAGCAATAATAATAGTTAACGTTTATTGAGAACTCACTAGATACTGTTCTAAGTCCAATTTGACCTATATCATTTCATTTACCTTACAAAAATCTTATGGTGTGTGCACTACAATTACCCTATATTGTTAGGTAAAGTAAGGAATTTGAGAGGTTGCATTGCCAGCATGAGGTGCCCCAGAATTTGAATTCTGGCAGCCTGACTCCAGAGTTATGCTCTTTTCTTTTCTTTCTTTTTCTTTTTTCTTTCTTTCTTTCTTTTTTTTTTTTTTTTTTTGAGATGCAGTCTTGCTATGTCACCCAGGCTGCAGTGCAGTGGCGCAATCTCAGCTCACTGCAACCTCCGCCTCCTGGGTTCAAGCAATTCTCCTGCTTCAGCCTCCTGAGTAGCTGGGATTACAGGCATGCGCTACCATGCCCAGCTAATTTTTTTGTACTTTTAGTAGAGATGGGGTTTCACCATGTTGGCCAGGCTGGTCTTGAACTCCTGACCTCAAGTGATCCACTCACTTTGGCCTCCCAAAGTGCTGGGATTACAGGCATGAACCACTGTGCCCATCCAGTGCTCTTGACTTTTCTGATTTTTTTTTTTTTTTTGAGACGGAGTTTTGTTCTTGTCGCCCAGGCTGGAGTGCAGTGGCATGATCTCAGCTCACTGCAACCGCTGCCTCTCGGGTTCAGGCGATTCTCCCACCTCAGCCTCCCGCGTGGCTAGGATTACAGGCGCCCGCCACCATGCCTGGCTAATTTTTGTATTTTTAGTAGAGACGGGGTTTTGCCATGTTGGCCAGGGTGGTTTTGAACTCCTGGCCTCAGGTGATTCACCCACCTCAGCCTCCCAAAGTTCTGGGATTACAGGCGTGAGCCACTGCGCCCGGCCAATCCCAGCACCTTGGGAGGCTGAGGCGGGTGGGTTGCTTAAATCCAGGAGTTAGAGACCAACCTGAGCAATATGGTGAGACCTCATCTGTACAAAAAATTTTAAAATGATCTGAGCATGGTGTTGCACACCTGTAGTCCCAGCTACTTGGGAGGCTGAGGTGGGAGGATCACTTAAGTCCAGGAGGTCGAGGTTGCCCTGAACCGTGATCGTGCCACTGTACTCCAACCAGCCTGGGGAACAGAGTGAGAACCTGTCTCAAAAAAAAAAAAAAAAAAAAAAAAAAAAAAAAAAAAGTCTCCTGACGGTAACAGTTTCATCCAGGATGAGTAATCTTTTTTTTTTTTTTTTTTTTTTTTTTTTTTTTTGAGACGGAGTCTTGCTCTGTGCCCCAGGCTGGAGTGCAGTGGCGCGATCTCGGCTCACTGCAAGCTCCGCCTCCCCGGGTTCATGCCATTCTCCTGCCTCAGCCTCCCGAGTAGCTGGGACTACAGGCGCCCCCCACCTCGCCCAGCTAATTTTCTTGTATTTTTAGTAGAGACGGGGTTTCACCGTGTTAGCCAGGATGGTCTCGATCTCCTGACCTCGTGATCCGCCCGTCTCGGCCTCCCAAAGTGCTGGGATTACAGGCTTGAGTCACCACGCCCGGCCCAGGATGAGTAATCTTATGCCAGTAGGCTAGTCAATAAGAAAAAAATAAAATATAGCTTTGCAAGTCACTAGTATTTATAATAAACAATGTGGGTGTGATTTGAAAGTTATAAAACTTCTGCTCTGATCATAAAAACCTATGTACAGGCTGAGCACGGTGGCTCACACCTGTAATCCCAGCACTTTGGGAGGCTGAGGTGGGAGGATCAGCTGAGGTCAGGAGTTCAAGACAAGCCTGGCCAACATGGTGAAACCCTGTCTCTACTAAAAATACAAAAATTAGCTGGGTGTGGTGGCGGGCACCTGTAATCTCAGCAACTTGGGAGACTGAGGCAGGAGAATCACTTGAACTTAGGAGAAAGAGGCTGCAGCGAGCTGAGATCGCGCCACTCCACTCCAGCCTGGGTGACAGAGTGAAACTCTGTCTCAAACAAAACAAAAGAAAATAAAACAGAAGCCTATGTACAAAACAATATTTTGTGATGTTCCCCCAAATCTCCCAAACATGGCAAGATTCTTGTGAACAAAACACCTGAAGTAGAAGGACATGATTTATAAGAACTTTTTGCTAACTGTAGATGCACTGGAACTGAAGATATCAGTAGAGACGACACAGACATGAATGAAGAAATTACTGGTCAAACAGGCCTATCCAGACCTGATTTTAAAACCTCAAAAAATGAAACTTCTTGGGGTCATTCCTTCGAAACGACTACTGACCCTGCTTGTCAAATTTCTTCCTGTTAGGGGTGTGTACTCAATTGCAGCCTAGTAGTTATGGACTAAAAGTGTTGGAGGCATGTGAGTGAGTAGATAGGTATGAGTAGGAGTAAGGAATGAGTTGGGTATCATAAACTATTCAAAATCATAATGCTTTGTGGTTGATTTGATTTTAACATTGTCCCCTGAGGTTTTGCATGGTAAACACTGTTATTTAATTTTAATTCTTTCTAACTTCTCTGTAGCATCTGACTTTGCTGAATACCCAATTCTTTTTCTTTCTTTCTTTCTTTTTTTTTTTTTTTTTTTTGAGATGGAGTCTCACTCTGTCGCCAGGCTGGAGAGCAGTGGTGCGATCTCAGTTCACTGCAACCCCCACCTCCCAGGTTCAAGCGATTCTCCTGCCTCAGCCTCCCGAGTAGCTGGGATTACAGGCATGAACCACCATGCCCAGCTAATTTTGTATTTTTAGTAGAGACGGGGTTTCACCATGTTGTTCAGGATGGTCTTGATCTCTTGACCTTGTGATCCGCCCGCCTTGGCCTCCCAAAGTGCTGGGATTACAGGTGTGAGCCACTACGTCCAGCCAAATACTCAATTCTTAAAACACCCATTCTCTTGAATTCTGTGACATCAGTCTTTCTTAGTTTCCTTGACAGCTTTTTCATTCTCCTCCAGTCTTAAGGTTCAAGTTTCCCTGAACCTCAGACCCAGGCTGCCATTCCCCTGAACTTGTCACACAGCCCCTCACTGAGCATGTTCGTTTCCAGGGTCTCACCAGTCCTGCATGTTGGTATGGATGAAACCAGCTCTAAAGGATTATTTGGGGTCAAGTTGAATTTGGTGGGTACTACGTAAAATGAAAACTAACGAAATCATTGACTGAATGAAAAAGGTTGCAGGAAGAGTGCACCGAAACAAAAGCCCTCGCTGCGTTCCTACCATGCCATTCCTCCCATTGAAGTGCTATTCCTGACTCCAGCCAGATGCAGTCTTGCTCTAATCTGAATGTCTAAGAGCAATCTGTGTGTCTCTTATGCAGACTTATCACTTGATACATTTTATTAAATATATATGTGCCTACCCCAAGGCTCTTAAGGACAGAAACCGCATCACAGATATTGTTGAATCTCCCAGTGTCTCTCCAGCTCCCACCACAGATGCCCAATAGCATTTATTGACTGAACAAGCACTGTTTATCC